GAGCCATATTGGCAAAACAGGACACACACACACACACACACACACACACACACACACACACACACACACACACACACACACACACACACACATACCCACAACCAAAGGAAAAGTAGATTTTCTACAATGAGTTAGAGAGACAAATGGAAACTGAACAACATGTTCACTAGTTCCACTATTTAGGAAACTTTTGAACTATATCTCACCTGGTTATAACCTTTTTTTGATTTAGAGTTCTGCTTCTTCAGAACCTCTGTCATCGTCAGCTGAAGGCCCTCTTTCCAATCTGGATAGTGGAACAAAACAAAAAGCAGAAAAAGAAGTTCAAGCACTACATCTATAAGGTGAAGTAATAGAGTTTGGATGTGAGGAAAACTTGCCAAGCTTCTCAGAATCCCTGCATGTTTTTTGAAGGTTAAGCGACGTGCAGACCACCTCTTTGTGGATCCACCGACTCCTCCCACTGATGGCCACCTGTACTCATGTCAAACAGGACACAGTTCAGATTAGTCGGTGCTGGTAGAAATAGAAATGCGTATTATTGTTTGTAAAGCAGGAAGTCTGTGTAAAGGAACAATACCTTGTTGTAGGCTACTCTCAGTGTGAGGGGAACAGCCTCCCGCTCTTCATCAATTCCCAACCTTTTGCTCACAGCTCCTTCAGAAACAATGCAGCACATACAAATCTGCATTCAGACATTCAAACACGTTTGTGTTGCTTTTGAATGTGTATGTTTTGCAGAGCTTGACTAACCCATGGCTCTAACAGCTCTGGCTCCAGCTGTGTGTCCAAGCTCCATGGAATGAATGAATACTTCCTTTCTCTTCTCTCCCCCCACCAAGGTCAGCTGTGCGAAGGAAGGAACAAGAATATTTTAAACTGTGAGCAGGTCAATATGTCCTGTGCATGTTGCTGTGTGAAGATGATCCTCTGACCTCAGCCTGGTAGAGCTGCACCAGAACGGGCTGATCGGCGTGTCGGCAGTAATAGAGCACCAAGTCGGCCAGCAGTGGAAGACGATGCTCCATGCTGCCGGTGCTGGTGGAAACATCATCGTCCTTTGGAGCAGCCTGAGTCATGGGAGGTTGGGTAAAAAATATTAAACAGCAGCAGGGATATCCTTTGCACAATGATGCACAATCGATTAAATCGAATAGATTTAGATTCATTCATCCAGTTAGTAATGTTTAAAATCAGGACTCAATTCCACACAGTTAATGCTCCCATTTGTCACCCGATGGGACAAATAAGAATGAGTTTAAGTTAATTATATATTAAATTTCTTACTTATTGTTCTGTTAAATTAAAAAGTAAGCATATTCCATGCAGATAACGATGCAATTTGTTAATTAATAAATTAACCTAGAATGATTTTATCAATAAATCAATAAGAGGCCCTTTTCCTATTGTTTCCTCTTGTATCAGGAGGATTCAGTTAACATCAGCGGCTAAATGTTTTCTTTTCTCTACTAAACCCTGACTGATTAAGCACAAAAAGTATGGAACTAGAGAGGTTTATAAAATAAAACTAAACAGTAAGCTGTTAGGTTATTGAATAAAAAAGATGCATAAGATATGTGAAAGTGAAGTAAAAGTTTTAGTCATAGACTGAGTAAGTCGCTCTGATACACTGTCAGACTATCATGCCTCTTCGTTTCAATGAAGCGGATGCCTATTGTTATTTAGTTCAGTTCCTATTCTATTCCAGCATTCAGTGCTTGGAGATGTGCTGTTAATCTGGTGTTTTGTCTTTTTCTGTCAGGTCTCAATTTTTTTTGCAGATTGTCCTCCATTTTTCTATCATCACATCCTCTCTTTCCAGGCACAGCAGAGAAGTATGAATGCAGCACAGATAAATGAGCGCTACTTTACATAAAAAGTAAAAAATAGATATGCCAGTAGGTCACTCTGGTTGAGTACAATGCTTTTATGACAACTTACAGCGTAGTATTTATGTTTGTCTTTTAACCTTTGTTTTTGTTCAGTTTGTAAGTACATATAGCCTTTTTGTGTATATTTACCAAAACTACATTATGTGATGTGGATTATGTAACTAAGGATGCGTAGAAGTGGTCAACAAGCCAGAGCAACGGAGGTGATTGAGTGTGGAACTCCCAGCATATATGGGAATAAAGAAAAGCCCAAGAACAGGTGTAAAAAGAAGATTTTTGATTCCAAGAGAAATAAAAGTGGGACAATGCTGGGAAAACATTCTGACCGTTGTATTCACTAAAGATGGATCTTAAGTTTAGAAGCATTCTGATGTTGCAGCAGAGTTGATAGACAGTTCATGCCTTAATAGTCATACTAGTGTTTACAATGATTTTCAGCCATATCCTCCAGACAGTCAGCTCAGTTGGGACTTGGAACTTTAGTTGTGTCAATGCCAACCATCTGGCTTTTTGTTAGTTAGGCTGTATTGCCTGTAAATGGTGCCAAGTCTGTTTATACCAGCTCATCTTGCCCTGAGCTGGTGTTCTATTTAGGCTCAAAAAGGACAATCAAAACAATGTCAGGACAAACTATTGGTGCATATAGCCTTATTTCATCAACCGATGGGCCACGTTTTAATATAACAAACCATTAATCTAAGATTAATCATTAGTAAATTATTTGTTTACATCCCTACTAGCAGGTTTCTGCAGACTAGAAGTAATTTAATGTTTTGGAGTGGCCTAAACTCCAAAGATTAGCCAAAGATAAGAGAAAAAGAAAGCAAAGATAGAATTTCAGCTTTAAGTAAATGGAGTTTATCACAAAATGATACTTTTAGAATAGGAGTGGAAATGCTAAACAAAAAGGCACCAAGCATTTACAGAGAATGGGTGTGACTATTGGGGAAAAGTGTGAATAATTGTTTTTTTGAGTAAAATAAAACAGATAAATATTTTCATATGATGCTCCTTTTATTGTTTGTGTTATATTTCAACAAAATTAAAGATACTGTAGCTATCGTCATTTTAATAGCCTTTTTATAAACATGCTCAATTAAAAGCAGAGCTCCATATGTGGATCATGAAGCGCCAGCTGAATCTACGGAGTCAGTATGGAGTTAATACAGAACATATGAAACTGAACATTTAAAACATGCAGTATGAGAGCGCAATATGTTAAAATAACATATTTACATGAAATATGTAATCTGGATGTGTAGCCACTGTTTGGATGCACAGAAAAAGAACAGCGTGTGTGCTTTTGTTATCTGGGCAGGAAACGTGGGTCACATGTTATGTGTCAGCAGTATAAAAAACAACAACTGGAGAACAGGGAGTAAATAGCAAGAACACCAAGGTGACTGCAGCTGTTATTTGATAAGTTTATAAAGTAAAAAATGGTTTGTTTAGCTGCAAACCAATATTAGTTCTTTAACTTTCCTTTCCTTTACTATGTGACTTGTTTGAGGTCCCGCTTTAGCACAAAGCTAGCTGTGGATAGATTCACAAAATTAAATGTGTCTAAATATAACCTTTTGATAGACTGATTTTTGAAGTTGTGTTCAATTTAACCGAGACTGCTTGCATGATATTTGTGGTATTTATACTAAAAGCCATCACTCTGTGAAAATTGCACACTGGCTCCTGTTTTTGTTCCAGTGAGGAGAATAAAGCTATATAAAAATCCAGAAAACCTGTATTAACTGTCTTAATGTATGGGACAAAATAGCTGTCAGAAGTAAATGTGAATGTTATTGTTGAAATTGGTGCTAAAAGGAATCATTTTGTGAATTTTACACTGGAATAAGTTGAATCAAATATAGAGCAGGTTTTCTGTTTCCTGTCAAAAAGGTGTATAAGTTAAGAAAATTGAAAGGTCTAGTTTTGCACTTGTGGTTTTTATGTTGTGAAAAAGCTTTCCGATCTCTAACCACATTTGCAAAAGATGTCACGAGGTCCATTTTTTATATAGAGCAGTAAACGAATTAGAGTTCAGCCTGAGATGTTAATGCAAACTGTTGCTGCCATAGCTGAATGCAGCTATAGTTTAATCATTTGTTTTTTTTTTAACCTTTTTGCCATGAAAGTGAAAAATCATCAATGATGCCATCACCATTTCTCATCAGAAGGCATGACCACATGGGCTGGGTTTCTTAACCCAAGATTATTAGCTGCTATGTACACATCTACCGAATAAAATGCAAACATCTCCTTTATGGACTTGAACTAATTCTGATGCTTGTATATTAGATGGAAACACAGAAAAATCTGATGATTACTTTGAATTTGTATGTTATCTGTGAACAAAATGAATATAATGCTAAAAAATTGTTTTCACAAGATGCTTTCACTTTTGGCACCCCATTAACATTTTATGCAACCAGTAGGACAGTACTTGGTGTTCTCTTTTTATTGTTTCACAACTTTGGAATTTACAGTTAGAAGGAACTTTAAGCATTTCTCTACCGATGGTTTAATTATGCATGCAACCACTTTGTTGTGTTTTGAAAACATATTTTGGAGCATTACTCTGCTTAGAGACCCAGTGTGTCTAAAGACACTCGCTGGCTGCTTTAGTAGGTAGGTACACCTGCTCAGCTGCTGAGTAATGCAAATGTCTAATCAATCAATCAATCAATCAATCAATCAATCAATCAATCAATCAATCAATCAATCAATCAATCAATCAATCACATGTCAGGAACTCAATGCATTTAGGCATATTAAGATGGTCAGGGAAATCTGCTGCAGTTTAAATTGTGCAGACTGCGGAAGCAAGGTGATTTAAGGGTCTTTGAATGTAGAATGGTTGTTGGTGCATGATGGGCGGGATTGAGTAATTCAAAAACTGCTGATTTACGGGCAGTTCTGGTTTAGGCTGGTAGAAAGGTAACGGTAACTCAAATAACCACTCATTAAAACAGAGGTATGCAAAAGAGCATCTCTGAGCAACATGTCAAACTCTGAGGCTGATGGGCAACAGCAGCAGAAAACCACACTGGTTGCCACTCCTGTCAGCTAAGAACAGGAAACTGATCTACAATGTGCTTAGGCTCACCAAATTAGAAGATTGAAAAATGTAAACTGGTCCAATGAGTCTTGATTTCTGCTGTGAAATTCAGATGGTTGGGTCAGAATTGGGAATCAAAAACATGAAAACATGGATCCATCCTGCCTTGTATCAACGGTTCAGGCTGATGGTGGTGGTGAGATGCTGTGGGGAATATTTTCTTGGCCCTTTAGTAGCAATTGAGCATTTCATCATGCCACAGCCTAGCAGTATTGTTGCTAACCATGTTCATCCCTTTATGACCACAGTAAACCCATTTTCTGAGCAGCTACTCCCACCAGGGTAACATACTATAAAGTGTGAGTCATCTCCGACTGGTTTCTTGAAAATGACGATGAGTTCACTCATGGCATCCAAAGTCACCACATCTCAATCCAATAGAGCATTTCTGGGTTGTGGTAAATTGGGAGATTTGCACCATGGATGTGCAGCTGACAAATCTGCAGCATCTGTGTGAAGCTGTCATGTCATTATGGACCGAACTCCCAAAAGAATGTTTTCTGTACCTTTTTAAATCTATGCCACGAAGGACTGAGGAAGTTCTGAAGGCAAAAGTGGTCAGTGAGTAACGTACTGTGGAGTACTACAAATAGCTTTCTTTGAAACTGACTCACATTTGAAGGAGTTCATCTTGATTTGCACTATAAAAAGGGATCTCATGACCTCATTACAAGAATTTGACGTACAGCATCAGTGCTTTTTCAAACAACTTACTTTTTTATTATTACATCCAACATCCCTGGAGGGTTTTCTTTGTTTTTGCTGAAGCCATCAGTCTCAGCATAGAAGCGTAAAGCAACCTCAGGATGGGGAAAAAGGTTCCCTCTGGCATCCCCTTCAGGCAACCAGTTTGTAGATAATCAGTTAGTGATTGTTAAAAAGAATTTGGGAATGAAAGCGTTCCACTGCATTTCTCCAACAGATTTTAAAATGTATGCAGGTTGGAAGGATAAAAATGGCTCCTTATTCAATTGTTCCAGTGGCAAAAAGAAAAAAAAATGTTGGAGGGAAACAAAATGTTGTGGATCACAACTAGATTTTACAAATTTTTATGAGTGGTAAAAATGTGTTTGAAATATGGTGTTATATTCTGTGATGCCCTGCAACAGACTAGTGACACGTCCAGGTTGTACCCTGCCTCTCGCCCATAGCTTGCTGGAAAAATCTGGATGGATGGATGGATGGATGGATGGATGGATGGATGGATGGATGGATGGATGGATGGATGGATGGATGGATGGATGGATGGATGATGGATATGGTGTTATATGTGCACAATGTGTGCCCATAATTGTGATGCTGTCTCTGCATTTATGATATTTTTTACAGCTATTTGACTCATTAGCAGCATAACTATCTCATCCTCATCTTACACCATCTTTCTGAGGTGTCAAAGCTTGAATAAGAGACACAATTGAGCTTTTGTAGATAAATGATGTAAGAAAAAAAACCTTGACCTGATATCGTCTAATGTAAAAGAATGAGGATGAAAGTGTGCTTACCTCGCAGAGCACTTCAGAGGATAGGCTGAGCAGACTGAAAACGTTACGTTCATACCACGGGTCTATCAGGCCCAACATCTGGCCGATATCTGTTGTGCTGTCCTCCACTTCATGACCATTTGACTCCTGTCATAAGCAAGAATTGAGATATAAAATGTCCTAATGCCTTGCTAAGGTAAAAGCTTTAAATCTTCTTATTATGTATATCATATATGAAAGATAACTGCAGTACCTGCCCCTCTGCTGTTGTGTGTCCTCCTGCTGTATTTGGAGGATTCCTCTTTGTTGGAACAAAGTAAAACTGCAGTTTGCATGTCTTAGTGAGTTGTGGACACTTTCTTTCCTTCTGTCGGAGGTCATTGTATGCTCGGGCAAGCCTCCCAGCCTCTCTGTCACCTCCAAATGCAACCACCTTGACAACAGTTGGCACTTCTGCTTCATTCCCTTCGTCTATGCTCAGAATGGGCCTCCTGCGGATGCAAATGTTCCTTTGGGGAGAGGAGGGATCCATCGGACTTATGGTAACATTCAGAGGATCAAGATGTCTTGTGGCAGTCCCTGAATGTTTGAGCTGTGCCCCCGTCATTAGGTAGTCTTTGCTGATGTCGCCATTGTAGCCCATGCTCTGGACGCGGCGGCAAGAGCTTGGACTGTGGGGGGTCTTGAAGAGTGAGGCGAAACCCGGCAAACCCAAAAGGGATTTGGACTTTTTCTTGGGTTTCTTTCTAACTTTCAGATGTTTGCCTCGTCCCTCCTCGGGATCCTCATGCGCTGTGTCCTCACTGAAGTCGCTTTCCACTCCAGATGAAGCAGATGGCACCGACCAGCTGGAGGAAAGAGAGTGTCCTGAAAAAGTAGAGTCCCTGGAGGAGGATGAGGCAGTGGAGATCCGGTTGCTTTGAAACTGATCGTCCTTTTTGCTCGAGTCCGACTCATCTTCTTCATCAACGCTAGTGTCAATGGTATCATCCTCCTCTATTTTCGGGAAACATTCAGGAGGGGAATCTAGGTCAGAATCGACTGCAAGAATGTCTTTTAGAACATCTACAAAAACAAGAAGAAGGAAAGAGAAAGTGATGAGAAATTATGCTGATGCTGAGAAACCTAGAGTAGAAGAGTTGACTCGAATTACCGAAGTTATCATCCTCCCATATGCAAGTGTGACATTTGGGATAGGGCAGCATTAGAAGCTCTACAGAACCTAAAATGAGGAGATATTTAGATCAAAACACACCAAGAACATGAAGTTTATCAGTAGAGTTTGAAAATAATACACAGAAAGTTATACAGTTTTTTTTATCTGATAGAACAGATTAAGCTAGAGTTAAAATGAAGAACACAGAAAAAGTCAATTTGGTTTTAATTCATTTCATTTTTTTTTTATGGATTGCATTCATAGTGGCCCTGTTACTCTAATAGCTCTAGATCAGGGGTTTAAAACATTTCGGCCCACATCCCAAATAACTATGCAACAGATTGGAGACTGCCTAAAAATACCAATGACCACTTTGTCCTATTTATATTTATACATAGGCTGTAAAGTACGGTAATCAATTTTAAAATGAATTTATTACTATTAATCAATTACTAAATTAGTTCATGTTTTTTTTCAATAATCGATT